ATCCGCCCGCCTCGGCCTCCCAGAGTGCTAGGATTATAGGCATGAGCCACTGCGCCCAGCCCTGAGCTTTGTTTTTAATGGATAAAGGTCTTTGGTGGAAATTTCTCCCTCTCTAATCTCCTTTATTTCCTCATTTTTTATTTTGACATCACTATTCAATATTTTGCCCCTTAGCAATAGTAAAACACACCACCAGATTTTTGAGAAGGTAGATTTTGAGTTATTGTTTAATTCCCAAGGGAACTGGGTTTTTTATCAACCTAAGAGTCCATCAAGGAATTGGGAAATTTAAAAGGGGTTGAATTTTAGTTTATGTGACCAGCCTGAAAAGATGGTAAATATGAAGTAAGGAAAACATGAGAAACTGCCACATCTTGTCTATGTGGCCACAGCCTCAAATTAATGATAGCTACTTCTCTGATTCTCAATTCTCTAAGAAAAGGAATCACCCTAGAGGTGATGGGCTAAAGCTACATTATGACCCTCTTAGTTAGAGCAGACTGACCACGGAGTACAGTCCTGAAGGCTACAGATTTCAGTTTCATGTAGGACCTCAGTCAACTTTGGCTATCTTCCCGATTCCCTGGCCTTCCCCTCTCTTGGTAAAGAGTCCTTTGTTTATGTAGCCTCATTTAAAGCACTCTTAGCTTTTCAGGGAGGTAAAAATATAAATGAAATATGAATTGACATTGTTACATTCAAACCTAATTATCACTTCTCTTCTCCCCCACCCAAACTGTGACAGTTTTCACCAACATGGCAGCTTGTGCATAGGTAGATATTTTATGATTTTTTTCTTACAAACTTGAACAACAGTAGGATATATTCAGTGTTGTAATGTAGTAGCTGTTTTCCTGAAGTTTACAGTTTGAGTCTACAGTTGGTTTTCTTGTCATTGGTCTAAATGAATTTCGAGGCTGACAGAGAGGCTTCCCCAGATATCTTGGCAGAATCACCATGGTTTGTCAGTGAACTGGATGTAACCAGGTCCTTTGGCACAAACTCACACTAGTTAAACCCACACCAGTAAATTGTAAGACCAGGACACCAAGTTATTAATTTACAATGGGAACTCTACTCTTTCAGTGTGTATTCATCTCTGCTGTTCATGATACTCTTTTCCTGGGAATATGATAGTGACAAAGTTAAACTGAAAATTAGAAGGCTGATTGGTAAGCAAAGAATCAGAGGAAATGAAATTAGGTAGAACCAAGGGTTATTTCATCAGAGCCGGTGAGAAGCCTTGTATCGTTTGCTGTCGAAGGGAGAGAGTAAGCTCACCCAGTGAATAGAATACTCTTGCCTACCAGATTCAGTATTTCTCTTTGTTGGACAGACTGGATAAACTCTGTTAAATTCTAGCTCTTTGGCCTCCCTTCTCTAGACTATAAGCAGAATACTCCTTTTCTACAGAACATTTTTTCCTTATATATGTTAATAAAATGGATTAGGCTATAGCTTGTGTTTTGTTCATTTCACAGTTATGAGACTGTATGTATGAGAGACACTAAATAATAGTGGTGGCCACATAGATAAAATATGGCAGTTTCTCCTGTTTTCTGTACTTCAGATTTACAGAAAACATGAGAAATAACCTGTCTCTTCAGCTGGGTTATTTCTCAGTCATTGTACAAGACCTCTGAGTTGCTAGAAGAATTTTATCAGCAAATTCTATGGGGAGGAAATTATTATAGCCTCCTATGTATTTAATGTTCCTGGCACATTAAAGTCCTATATATCCTAATTCATGAAATCTCAAAATATCCTCAAATTATTAAATTTATTACTCTGACATCTATTCATTCTTTTTTTTTTAACATGGGATAAAAGTCAATGAAATAACATCGATTTATTCTTGATGCTATATAGTCCATGGTGGCACATTGTCTTAACTCCCCAGTCTTTTCCCTGTATATACAGGTCAAGTGAAAAGGAATGGCTTTATTTCTTCTTTATCTTTCGAATTTATCTGCGTGCTTTCGTCAGCCCAGTTCAGGAAAAACTTACTTCCTTTCCTGTTTTCCCCCCACCCAGCCACCACTCCTTCCTTTCCTATGGATAGTCTTACCCCTTGGAGTGGCTCTTCTTCCTGAAGGTACTTTTCTAAAAGCAGAATCAATGAAGAAAAAGAAATAGGTGGCTTTTTACCTGAAAAACAGGAGTAAGTGGGTTGTAATATCTTTGCTTTTTAATCATGGCTTTATTTTTTAGCTTGGGGTTTGGCATTTTTCTTATTCAGAGATATCCCAGATCCATAATTATTTCTGTGTTAGAAGCTCTTATTTGCCAAAGTTTCAAAGCATATATGCTAGTACTTTGCTTTTCATTTCTTTGGACTTTTTCTCATATAGTCTCTCATGCTTTTTTCCTGACTTTTTTTGTTGTAATATTCTATATTTTGCTTTAATCCACAGAGTTGATTGCTTTCTATTTGTTATGTTTCAACTGACATTGTTTTTCCTCTCACCCTTGGCCCAAATTTGTTTGATTTCTAGTTATGTAAGATGAGCAAGAAGGCAAAACTTAGGCTGGGTGTGGTGGCTCACATCTGTAATCCTAGCACTTTGGGAGGCTGAGGCGGGAGGATTGCTTGAGCTCAGGAGTTCAAGACCAGCCTGAACAAGAGTGAGACCCTGTCTCTACTAAAACTAGAAAAAATTAGCTGGGCAACCAAAAATAGAAAAAAAAATTAGCTGGGTGCGGTGGTGTGCCCCTGTAGTCCCAGCTACTTGGGAGGCTGAGGCAGGAGGATCACATGAGCCCAGGAGTTTGAGGTTGCTGTGAGCTAGGCTGACACCATGGTACTCTAGCCCAGGCAACAGAGCAAGATTCTGTCTCAAAAAGAAAAAAAAAAAGAAGGCAAAACTTATTGCTCTTTGGCTGATTAGGACTTGAAAGTAACTGGGGTTCAGAGGATAATAAAATTTTTTTCTTCCAATTACAAAAGTTAGGTAGCATTCTGGGAGGCTGAAGCGGGAGGATCACTTGAACTCAGAAGTTCGAGACCAGCCAAGCAAGACCAAGACCCCGTCTCTACTAAAAATAAAAAAAAAAAAATAAAAAAGGTAGAAAACTTGGAAAATAAAGAAAACTAGAAAAAATGAAATAATTGTTTGTAGTCTGCCACCCAAAGGAGTCACCATGGCTGTGGTCCTCCATCTTTTCCCTTATGCATATGTGTTTATATGTTTTGAACTTGTGATCATGCTTTGATAATAAGATGATATTGATAATTACCATATATTTTCAATAGACTTGAATCAGCTTGGCTAGAAATGCATTGTGTGATTTCAATTAGATCTTTATAGGCGTTCGATAAACATTTGTTAAGTGAAATGAATGAATCCTTGGTACTTTCTTTGCCTTGGTTTTCCCATTTCTTTCTTTCTTTCTTTTTTTAAACTGGAGGAGTTAATGCTGTCATAATTTTGGAGGCCAGAATCAAAATCAAGGTGTTGGCAGGGTTGTTTCTTTCTGAAGGATCAGAGGAGAGTTGGCCCCACACCTCTCTCCTGGTGGTCTCTGATCATCTTGGCACTGCTGGCTGGCAGCTTTGTCGCTCCAGTCTCTGCCTCCATCTTTATGTGGTAATCTTCCCTCAGTTTTCCCATTTCTTAAGTAGGAAAAAATTAATTTACAGGAGTTTTTGTGAGGATTATTGAAAAACAAGTTATAAATATTCACAGTGGCTAGGTCTTGGTGTAACTCTCCTGGCGATAATATCGCATTTCTTTCCCAGAGAGCACTGCTGGAGAAGAAGCAAAGAAAAAAGCGCCTTGATCCACTCATGGTGCAGCCAAATCCAGAAGCCAGGCTGTGTCGGTCAAAGCCCAGAGGCAGTGAGGAACATACTCCTTTAGTGGAACCTCATCCTCCTCTCAACGACGTCATCTTACATGGTGTGTATTCGGACAGCATTACTTCCTGCTGGGGTGCAATTTTCACAAAACCTAGGAGAAGGCAGGAATGGACCAAAGATGGACCAAAGGGACAACAGTAGCACAGTTACTAGGTACCTTGCGTAATCACATTCTGGGTTTTTGAGTCGAATAAAAGCAACAGTCTGATCAGTGGAGATGCCTTAAAGTTCACGTCCATCCTAGAACTGTTGTTTTACCTGCCGAACGAATTAGGCTGAGTGGCCTGTTTGAGGAGCTCACAGTTCTGACGGTTGCATCTTGCCAGAGGTGGTTAACCATGAAGCCAGGAGTCGGAAGAGAGCGCCCATTCTTCCAATAGCTGGCTCAAAGGATCGCCTGAGATGGCATCGGGGAGGAGGTAGAATAGGATTAAGAGCCTTTAAGTCAAGTCCCTGGGCTCTTGGCTTGGACTGGATCTGTGCTGTGGAGGGCCTACTTTGTTCTCTTGACCTCATTCTTAGATTTCTAAAGCACAGCCTCAGGTACATGTACTTCAGTAAGAGAGCATGCAAATAAGATGAACACCAGTCCTGGACTGCTCTCTTAAAAAGTGTTCCTGTGGGTGTTAAGGAAGGAGGAGAGATGAAGTGATTTGGTCGTTCTTAGTTCTGATCACATGCACCAAAACCACCCAGCTAAATAGTGGGTAACACTTTTAACACTCTCGTTTTTTCTTTTGGCCCCTAGGCATTGATGGTCCAGCTGCCTTCCTGAAGCCAGATGCTCAAGATTTAGAAACCAAACTTCATGTTCTCTCGGTAGGCTCTTCTGCTACAGAAGAAGATACTGAAGGCAGTGTTGATGGAGAAAGCACCTTGGATACTGCTTCCAAGCCAGGTCTTGAGGAAATTCTCCAGAAACACGGTGAGGATTGGTAATGATTTGAAGGCAATTTGTCTTCCTTATTGTTTGTAATCTTTTCCGTTACTTTCTTTCATTGTGGTTAACAATCTAGGTGACTCAGAATTGCTCATAATGGCTGGGTACAGTAGCTCACACCTGTGATCCCAGCACTTTGGGAGGTTGGGGTAGGAGGATTGCTTGAGTTTAGGAGTTTGAGGCCAGCCTGGACAACATAGCAAGATCCCATCTCTACAAAAAATAAAAAAAATTAGCCAGGCATGGTTGTGTGTGCCTGTAGTCCTAGCTACTCTTAGCTACTTGGGAGGCTGAGGTAGGAGGATTGCTTGAGCCCAGGAGTTTGAGGTTGCAGTGAGCTATGATCAGGCCACTGCACTCCAGCCTGGGCTACAGAGCGAGATCCTGTCTCTTTAAAAACAAAAAAACCTCCAAAAAAAGTAGTAATTATACTATTGCCTGAGAAAAATGAGAATTAAATCAAATATAAAATATTATCTGCTGTGTATGACTATTTCTCACTTTTTGACCATTTATTTTCAGTTTCCACTTTCTTTTGACAAAGTTAATACCACTGAATACCACCACTCCCACTGCTCCACTTTGATTTCATAGTTCATGATGATCTCGAGCCTACTTTTTTTTGTTTTTCTTGGAGACAAGAGTCTTACTCTATCTTCCTGGCTAGAGTGCAAGTGGCATCAACCTAGCTCACAGCAACCTCAAACTCCTGAGCTCAACCAGTCCTCCTGACTCAGCCTCCCAAGTGGCTGGGACTACAGGCACACACCATCAGGCACAGCTAAGTTTGAAGTTCTCATTTCCATAAATATTCCTGTACATTTCAAAGGTCCCTTATAGTCTTCTTTCCTCCTTGGAAAAATAATTTTATAGTGAGAAGGAATCAAGTGTCCCCTTTTCAGATAACAAAACTGAAGCCCAATAAATATCTATTGGGTGCCTGCTTTGTATCAGGTTGGAATTGTTAGGTCCTGGGATATATGAATCAGGAGAGTCTACCACAGAATGGTAGAATAAATGGATGTTCAAACAAATCCATATATTTATTCATTCAGAAAATATGTTTTGAGCATACACTGTATCTCTGGCATTATTCTAGGCACTTAGGATACTATAGTAAACATGACTCCTGCCCTCATGGAGGGCCTCCTGTCTAATTCAGTTGAGGCTCAATTCTAATTGAGGCATCACGCACTTAAATAGTCTAGCGGTGGGAAGTCAAGGTGTTGGGAGAGCACCAGGAAGGGCTCCTCACCCAGCCTTGGAGGTTTGGAAGGCTTCCCAGAGACAGTGATGTCTGAGCTAGGGCCTGGCACAGCAAGAGCACTGGCCAGCTCAGAATGGCAGCAGCTTGGTTAGGGTGGTAGAGTGATAGGTGGGGAGGGGGTGTAGACAAAGGAGCCAGGAGAAAGACGTGGCCTCTACTTATATGGGACCTGATGGGCCACATCAGGAACAACTGGGACTTTATCTACAGAGAAATAGGAACCTGTGAGGGAATTTAGGCTGAAGAATGATATGATCGTGCTTGGGCTGTAGAAAAATTACTCTGCACCATGAAAAAGGGGTTGGAGCGGGCAAGTCCGGAAGCAGGAAGGCCAGTTAGGAGGTGGTTTGACTGATGGCCTGGCCTGGAGTTACTGCGTGGTGGTGTGTGCAGGAGCACAAGGCAGAGGAGACCTGGAATTACTTGGCGGGGGCATGAGACGGGCTGAGAAAGGCCCAGGCAGGAGAGGGAGTGGGATCAGGCTGAGCTGAGAAAGGGGCATGTCTGCCTCTGTGCTGGTGTTGCCTGGAGACCGACACTTGGAACATCTGGTGTATGGCAGGCACTTGATGTGCATTATCTCATTCGATGCAATATTCGTAACAATGCTTTGAGGGGTTTTAATGTGTTTGTCTCTCCCATTTTATACATAAGAAAGTTAGTTCTTAGAGAAGCAAAGACATTTGTCCTAGATCATGCCTCTAGTTAGGTGGCAAACTTAGGCAGAATAAATAGCACTCGCAAAGGCATCCAGGTGTGGAAACATGAGATGTTTGTGCAAACTGGGACGGATGACCAGAGTGCAAGGCGCAGCAAAGGCAGTGTGGTGAAATGGATAGAGCATAGCTCTGGGGCCAGCTGGCTGGGTTTTAAAATCTCAACTCTGCCACTTCTGGCTGGAAAAGGGGGCAAACAACCTCACTTTTCTCTGCCTCGGTTTCCCTGTCTGTAACGTGAAGGTGAGCACGGTACTTCCCTACTACTTTACTACCAATATTTTGACAACAAAAGAAAGTGAAAGATGTGGTTGGACAAGATAGGAGGAGTCAGAGCCAAGAGAGCTGTCTATTTAACCAAAGAAAAATTGCTTACCCCACATCATCTGGCGGAATAGTGGGGCAGACCTAGACTTTCTGATTCTTAGGCTAGTTCTTTATCCCTGACTATAAATGGCAAGTTGTTGCCTTTTGCGGTGCCCTTTGAAATGATTGCTTTGTTCTTTCTCAGAATTGGTCTTTCAGTGCCAAGTGAATTAATGCCTTTTCATGTCTCAACAAGTTGCATCTTGACTATAAAACCTATTAAGTGCTCTCTTGATTAATTTCTAAGAAGTATCTGTTTGGCAGATTGTGTCCCTTAAGTGGGTCCAATTTGCTTGTTTTAAACGTTTGGGACGAGATCTTTGATCTCTGTTTTAAGACCTCTGTTCACAAGAACTGAGTTCTTCGTATAAAAACGGCATTTGAAAACATAGCTAAGTGAAGATATCCATATGATAGTAATATCTCATGAGTTTTCTGCCTTTTTGCTACCAAAAATAAGATTAACATTTTAGAAAGCAGAAGAAAACAGTATCCTTAACAAACCAAAGGATTTTGTTTAATAACAGCTTTTTGAGATATAAATCACATGCCATACAATTTACCCATTTAAAGTGAACAATTCATTGGTTTTCAGTATATTCAGAGTTTTGCAACCATTATTGCAATCAATTTTTGAACATTTTCATCACCCCAGAAAGAAGCTTCATACCCATCAGCAGTGACTCCCCATTTCCCTCCAATCCCCCCAGCCCTAGGCAACTACCAATCTACTTTCTGTCTCTGTAGATTTGTATATCCTGAATATTTCATATAAATAGAATCATATGTGGTCCCTTTTGAATTTTTTTCTTTTTTTGAGACAGTCTCATTCTGTTGCCTGGGCTAGAGTGCTGTGGCATCAGCCTAGCTCACAGCAACCTCAAACTCCTGGGCTCAAGCAATCCTCCTGCCTCAGCCTCCTGAGTAGCTGGGACCACCACCTGGTAGTGCTGGGCTGTGCCCCCATGCCCGGCTAATTTTTCCTATTTTTAGTAGAGATGGGTCTCACTCTTGCTCACGCTGATCTCGAACTCTTGAGCTCAAGCGGTCCTTCCAACTCGGCCTCCCAGAGTGCTAGGATTATAGGCATGAGCCACCACGCCCAGCCTAGACATAATTTTTAAAGAGCTAACTTAGGTGGCAGCAGTGGAAGGGAAAACAAGAGATGGATGTGAGACTATGAAGAATTGTCAAAATATTGGATAAAATAGCTGTGTTTGGGGTCAGAATAGTTAGGAATGTTTTAGGTAAGAAAATTAAAACTACCCTTTCTTCAAAAAAGTTTTTTTAGACTGGTGTTGGCAGTAACTGACAGTTCTTCCCTTTCTGCCAGGTATCTCAGGTAGTTTGAACTTTGATGAAGAGGAGACTGACAATGAGGAAGAAGGAAGAAAATTAACATCCTATTCAACACATTCAGAAACAGAGAGACCCAATTCTGCATCCAGCCAGAAGTCAGCCACAGTATGTTGTCTGAAACTTCTTCCTTTGGAGCTAACTTGGCTATTTCCCAAGCATATCTTCAGTATTTAAATACTGTTATTGAATGAGGGTTCCTTCAAAAGATTTAAGCTCAAATTTAGACTTAAAGGTTATGATCTCTCTAATTTCTTCAGTCTCAGGTCAACTATTATTGGGAGGCTCTATCCCTTTTTCATACTTAGCCCTTCATTACTCCCAGTATTCCTATTTAACTTTTCAAAGTTTCCCTTTATTTTGTCAGAAGACTGAAGACATAGGGGTGAATCAATAAGTTTTTTGTCCGCTAAGTTTTTCTCGCAGGGAATATGAGGTTTTCTGACCCAGCCTCTTATTGCTTGTGTATGTCCTTTCAGGATACAGGAGCTTCCAGTACCGCAGCCCAACAGGCTGATAACCACCTGGGAGAAGTAGAGAATATAGCGGACTTTGCATATAGTCCTGCCCCTCGAGGTATCACAGTAAAGTGTCGCATAACCAGGGATAAAAAAGGAATGGATAGGGGACTCTTCCCCACCTACTATATGCACTTGGAAAAAGATGAAAATCGGAAGGTATGAGAATTGATTCCTGAGACAACTCTTGAGAGAGAGGAGAAGAATGTTGTGGGAATAGATTATTCATGGGCCTTATAATGGGGAACTAATGCTGGTATTAGAGCAAGTCAACTGGAAGTAGAGCATATTTACTAATTCCCAGATGCTGTGTTCTTGTTATCTTCAAAGAGCTCATGGTTTAATAAACAAGATCTTCCCCTCCCCACCCTCCCAAGAAAAGGGGTTTTATCCATAATGTAAGAAAATAGAAGAGAATTTTTAATGTGATTATTTTTAGCTTCCTACCATTATTTATTTTTGGGTTGTTACTGTTTGTCCTTTGGTTTTTCTTTTTCTCTTTATTATTACTTTTTTATTTTAGAGACAGGGTCTTGCTTTGTCATCCAGGCTGGAGTGCAGTGGCATGATCATAGCTAGCTATAGCCTCTAACTCCTGGGCTCAAGTGATCCTCCAGCCTCAGCCTCCCAAGTAGCTGGGACTAGGCATGCACCACCATGCCCAGCTAATTTTTTCTATACATATTTTTAGTTATCCAGATAATTTCTTTCTATTTTTAGCAGAGATGGGTGTCTCGTTCTTGCTCAAGCTGGTCTTGAACTCCTGACCTTGAGCGATCCTCCTGCCTTGGCCTCCCAGAGTGCTAGGAATACAGGCATGAGCCACTGTGCCCGGCCCCTCGCTAAACTTTTGCTAATGAATAGATAGAACAGCCATGGGGGTTCTCTTGACTTCATTTTTGACTGACATTTTTTTCTTTTTCCAGGTATTTCTTCTTGCAGGTAGAAAGCGGAAAAAGAGCAAAACATCTAACTACCTTATCTCCACTGACCCAACAGATTTATCTCGTGAAGGAGAAAGTTATATTGGCAAACTCAGGTGTGAGCAGCCTTATATCACTGTCCTGTTCTTTCTGATAGGAAAGAGTGTTCCACTGTTCTGATTCTTTTATTCCTACAGTTTTAGAACAATCCACATCATTTTTTACAATTAGCATGCACTGATGTTGTGATCTTTAAAGAAAAGGTAAAAGAGAATCTAAGTCCCTTCCTTGTTTTAATGAGAGATCTTTGAAAAAGTGATGATGAACATTTAGACATTTGGAGAACAGGCAAATAGGCTTCCATTCTATCTTTACCTCTCCTAGATTGTGTTTGTAGAAGAGAAAAAATATAGATCATCATGGGGACTTTTTATCCTGGTCTAGATCCAACCTCATGGGGACCAAGTTCACAGTTTATGACCACGGTGTCAGCCCAGTCAAGGCCCAGGGTCTGGTGGAAAAGGCCCACACGCGCCAGGAGCTGGCCGCCGTCTGCTACGTGAGTGCCATTCTCGTGAGGTACCTTTCCCGGACCCTCCTGGACGTCCTGCTGGCACTTTCAACTTGGTGTAACCACAGCCGAACGCAGCCTCTTCCCCTTCAAGCTTGCTTCTATTTCTGTGATCCCCTTTTCTCCATATATTCAAGTTTTAATTATTTATAAATTGCCAAGTTTAATTATTTTTCACTTTTGTACTATTTCTTCCCTTATTTGCTCTTCTCTTTTCCTAATGCTCCTTAATTCAGACCTTCTTTACCTCTTATCTGTTGGCCAGAGGTTACAATAAATTAAAACTGATTTCTTTGTTTTTAGTCTTTTCCTATCTAGTTCATTTTATACTGCTGCCAAGTAAATCTTCCTGCAATGGGCTCCAGTTGGTCTGTCGTTCTCCTGCTTCAGATCTTCTGATGACTGCCCATTGCATACAGAGCAGAGCCCTTCCTGGCCGAGCTGAGCTAACAGGAAAAAAGAAGAACGCCCTAACATGTTTGCCTTTCTGTTCAGACTCCCCCAGTGGCTCTCCCCCTGCTGTCATTCCCTTGTCCAACAACACTCATCTTTCCTCACCCGGGAGCCTTCCCTCTGCCCCTCCTTGTCTTTTGCCTAATCAAAGTCTTTCCTGATGTGTTCCCCTGGATGCAGTTGACATTCCTTTGTTTATATCCCCCTGGCATCTGTAACCCACTTATTATATTTGTTATTACTTGTTCAACACGAACTTTCTCTACCAGTCTGTAAACTCTTGTGAACTCTTGTTCACTGCTTATCCACACTAGCACATGGCCTGGCGCACAGTAGGCATTCGGAGAGTTGTTGAGTAAAAGAAAGCAAGAAGTAATCAACCCAACTCAGTTGTTCCTTTGATTCAAAGTCTCGACTTTCCGTGAATTGAAATTAATCTCATCATTTGGCTCTAAGTGCCTGAGAACCATTTGACTTAACACTTTATGATATAAAATATTTTTCCTCTATTGCTTTCATATGTATGTATATGAATATGCACACATACATATATCCACCTATTTAATGTGCTTATATATACTCATAATCTGCCTGGCTTGGCGGGCATTTGAATGTTTAACTTCCTGGTACAGGCCCTATTTAATTAAAACTAATTCTCACTGTATGTTATATAGCACCATGCCCTCATTGGGAAATAAATATTATTTATGGCGACAGATTTGGACAGTTTGTTCACAATTGTCTCAAATTTCACTTAAGACTAAAGAGTAAGAGTAAAGTCTCAAGCCAACAGACTCTGTTTTACATGCAAGTGTTAAAAGTTTAAAAAGAGGTACAGTGTTACTTTCCTGTTTTTGATTCTCTGCTTAACTGCAGCAAAGTAATAAAATTGTTCCTGGTGCTGTTGACATTGCTAACATTTTATGTGCCCGAGAAAGTCTTGTGTTATAACAGAATGTGGTCTCTTTTTCCTTTCTGTTTCTAAGTTCTGCCTTATTTTCCTATCTTCCAGGAAACAAATGTACTTGGATTTAAAGGTCCTAGGAAAATGTCTGTGATCATTCCAGGGATGAATATGAATCATGAACGGATCCCATTTCGGCCACGAAATGTAAGAAAGAACATATTTAATCAGCAAAGGACTCTAAGAGACAATAATACAATACAGAGAGATCAATACGAAAAAAGTATTGATTATTCGAGAGCCTTAAACTGGAGTCTGGCTCACACTCTTCTTTAGGAGAGCGTCGGTGCAAACCCTCAGGATAGGTGCTGTTGCAGACTGTTGCTAAAGTTGTTGATTTGAAACCACTTTGTCTGCAAAGAGAAATGCTGGCTAGTGTGTAAGAATTTTTAAAAACTTCCCTTAATTTTTGCTTTAATTCTTTGCTTCTGTTTTTCCTTTTCTGAAATGGAGAAAATATTGCCCAGCTCTACCTTCTATCTCACAGAGTTGAGAATGAATGAGATCTTGGGATTTTTAGTAAAAAGTTATGATTTTCCCTTTGAACAGGACCATGAAAGCTTGATTTCAAAATGGCAAAACAAAACCATGGAGAACTTGATTGAACTGCATAACAAGGCCCCGGTCTGGAACGATGACACCCAGTCCTACGTCCTGAACTTCCATGGCCGGGTCACCCAGGCGTCTGTGAAGAACTTTCAGATAGTCCACGGAAATGACCGTAAGCCTGCAGGAAGGGTTGGATGGGAACAGGAGGAAAGACGCTCTTGCAAGATGGGGAATTAGCATTAAATATTTCTTTGGAAAAACAAAACTACGGTTTTAGGGGAAAATTGCTAAATTACTGTGTTGAGGATGAGAGCAGCGTGAGAGATGTGCTGTGACAAATCAGAGAAGTCTCCGGTGAGGCTATCTGGGAAGTAAAGACAACTGACTTTCAATAATTCTGGCCTATGGAGCTTGTGCTGTCCCCAATACGCTGCTCTTTTCTCTCCTCTTGCCCTTTGATGCCATCAGGAATCTCTTGTTCTCTGTAGGTGAGAGGAATAGTAATAGAAACTTTGCTCATGGTTAGCAGATGCTCTTCTTAATACCTCTTTTCACCCTTTAAAAGTTTCCTTTTAGGCCGGGCGCGGTGGCTCACACCTATAATCCTAGCTCTCTGGGAGGCCGAGGCGGGTGGATTGTTTGAGCTCAGGAGTTCAAAATCAGCCTGAGCAAGAGTGAGACCCCATCTCTACTAAAAATAGAAAGAAATTAATTGGACAACTAAAAATATATAGAGAAATTAGCCAGGCATGGTGGTGCATGCCTGTAGTCCCAGCTACTCAGGAGGCTGAGGCAGGAGGATTGCTTGAGCCCAGGAGTTTGACGCCACGGCACTCACTGTAGCCCAGGCACGAGAGTGAGACTCTGTCTCAAAAAAAAAAAAAAAAAAAAGTTTCCTTTTAAAGAGACCTGGTGATGAGCTGACCTATCTGGAGGATTCTTTCTGTGTCTTGAACAGGTTTCCCCCAATATAACCACATTATCTTCTAATTCCTTTCTGTTTCTAGCTGACTATATAGTCATGCAGTTTGGACGTGTGGCAGATGACGTGTTCACACTGGACTACAACTACCCACTGTGTGCACTTCAGGCCTTCGCCATTGGGCTTTCCAGCTTTGACAGCAAGCTGGCGTGTGAATGAGAGCAGAAGTAGGCGCGGAGCTGGGCTTCCTCACCACAGAGCTTTCGGGAGCAGATGGTTGCTGCCCTTGCCCTTGCCCTTGCCCTTGCGCCAGGGCGTGAAGAGCCCCCTTTGGAATGACCCCTGAATGTATGTATGTATATGTGTATATGTATGTGTACACACACACACACACACACACACACACACACACACACACACACACACACACACACACTCCTTCTCTGGGTTTCATAGACTGGTCAGGGATCACAGCTTAGCCTGGGTGAGAGATTGCTTAAAGCACAGAGAGGTTTCTTATCACATTGGTGACTCGTGACGTTACTGCCCAACAGATTCTGTGCCTCAAGAGTGAGTTTTCCAACGCTTGGACACTAGCAGTAGAATCAGGTTCTAATGATTAAATACTTGGGTCTCTTTTTTTAAAGATCTTTTCACGGGGAGACAGTTCTCTAAATTGCCTTTAGTCTCCAGGGCAGGGGTCTGCAAACTTTTTCTGCAAATGGCCAGATAGTCTCTCTCACAGCTAATCAATTCTGCCTTTGTAGTGCAAAGCCACCATAGGCAATTCATGAATGAACGCATGTGGCTGTGTCCAGTGAAACTTTATTTACAGAAATGGGCAGCAGGCCAGATCTGGCCTATGGGATGTAGTTCGCCAACCCCTGCTTCAGGTGTATCCATATACTCTATGGCTTGAGCATCTTTCAAAATGGGTATATTTAGAAAGCAACAGTCCTACAGATTGTCTCTAAAGAGATGCCACATCCACTGTTAGTTACACACATTTACCTTGTTTTGGTGACATTGGTTTCTAGAGTACCATCTACCATTAAGACTGGGAAAACCGGCCGGGCGCGGTGGCTCATGCCTGTAATCCTAGCACTCTGGGAGGCCGAGGCGGGAGGATCGCTCAAGGTCAGGAGTTCGAGACCAGCCCGAGCAAGAGCGAGACCCCGTCTCTACTAAAAATAGAAAGAAATTAATTGGACAACTAAAAATATATAGAAAAATTAGCCGGGCATGGTGGCGCATGCCTGTAGTCCCAGCTACTCGGGAGGCTGAGGCAGGAGGATCGCTTGAGCCCAGGAGTTTGAGGTTGCTGTGAGGTAGGCTGACACCACGGCACTCTAGCCCGGGCAACAGAGTGAGACTCTGTCTCAAAAAAAAAAAAAAGACTGAGAAAACCCAAAGTTAGGGTAAGTCACTAAGGTGACTTAATTCTGCTGTCTCACCCACCTTACCCATGGGAGAAAGTGATGACAGCCACTTTACCCACCCTAAGAAAAAAACTTATGCCCACTGCAAAACAAATCTGGAACTGTATGTTCTTTATCAGAGCGAGTATGGTATTTATTTCCCAGAGCTCGCTGTCCCCCGCAGGGCTGGGAAAGCACTGAGTCACAGTCCTCTCTTCCCTTCCTTCCCTCAGAGCAGGTTGGCTGGAACCAACTTGATCAAAGTGGCTGTGGCCAGACTTGCGATCAATTATGTGAGAATTTTATATAATTGTCTTCATTTCAGTTAAGGCTAAAAGCATAAACTCCAGAGGTGACTTAGTCTAGTTAAGACTGAGAGTAATTTGATAATTGCCTTCATTTTCAACCCAAGAGTGCCTCCCCCAGCTGTGTCACTATGGAGCCGTTAGTGCGGAGGGACACACACCTGTAGACATCATGTGCAGACCCTTTGTTGTTGTCATCATCAAGAGAGGTTCCAGGAGAGGCCCTGGTGAGGCCCAGCCAGCTGCCTCTCAAGCTCGGCAGGCCTCAGTGGCCAGAGCTTGGGCCTTTCTTCTTGATGTGAGGATCGTCGGCTCCCCAGCACCTGTTCGTTGGTGCAGATCATGCTCCTGTCACTTTTCATCACAGATCAGAAGATTTTCACTAAGTCTTTCAGATTATTAGCACCTCTCAAATCATGCGACTCTTGTACCCGTTCGCCCATCCCGGACTGTTTCTGAACTCTGAGAACGCGAGAACTCTGTGCACTGAGCGGTAGCCAGCGTGGGCCAAGGAGCCGTGGCTGTTGCTCCATCATGTTTCCCTTCCGTGGACTGCCTTCGCGTCCCTGTGTTCTGTTGCTCCCGCTCCGCATCAAGTAACCGTTTGAAGGAAAGAGATCGGGGAGATGCAGAGACCCTCGGCTCACCCCCTGCGGGCAGGTCCGCCCTGCGTGGCTTCGACGTGACTGGTTTCCATCTCAGGCATGCTTGCCGTCAAGTGCCTCCTTTTAAGAAGTGCCCCAAAGCCCTTCACACCTCCGTTGCCCCCATCCTGAGGAACTGCCACCTGTTGGACACAGCTGTTCACTTATCTCCAGGTGCGATAATCGCCGCGTCTGGGGAAGGGGACCCTACAGTGGGCAGCCTGGACCCGATCTTGCTTCCTCCTCCTCCTCTGGAGAGATAGACCCCAGTTTCACGTTCTTTCTGCTTGAGTGTGCAGGGGATTGGTTTTACATAAATCATATTTACACCTTTTGTATGCCACAGAAATAAAAGATAATTTGCATAGAAATGCAAGTGTCCCCTTCTTCTTTGCAAGTCCCATCCCTCAGAGAGTTCCTGTCCTGCTCTGTGATAATAGTTTTCATTTTGGCAACTGAGCTCATCAGTTCTTTGAAGCCAAGTAAGTTTCCATATAAACTCTGGTCCTGGGGTAGAGCCGGAGCCTGCAGAAGCCTGAGAAGGCGACTCCAGATACCACCTAGACACACCATACACATGGAACCAAGTGTCTTCAGGACACATGACGGACCCAAGATCTGAGCACAGCGGGGCCGCAGGAGGGTGGGGTTTGTGCTGTCTGGCCACCTGGACTGGTCAGCTCCCTGGATCTGTTGGTGAAACGAAATATCTGATAGTGAAACAGACCCCGTCTCTTGCCTCTCAGTGTTCAGGTTTTAAAGCTAGCTGGTATTCACAGGTTGAAAAGTGTGTGTTCCCAGCTCTTTGCTAGGCTTTCCTGCTCTTCTCAGTGTCACGGTCACGATGAGACACATGGAAAGTAGCAGGAAGGGCCTAAAGTCAGGATGAGAGCTGGAGTCAGAGTTTACTTCCTACAGCTTGGCTTTTCTTTTTCACGTGGTTCTTTTTGACTGAGGTGCCTGGCTGACCAAATGGATTCTTTGTGACACAGTTTTGTACACTTTTTAGTGATCAGGGACATATTAGTGGTCATTGACAGGAAGATTTCCGTAAGAGTCATTTAAAAATCTAAAACAGGCCTGCAAAAGGCTCTTTTTGATCAGAAGTTTAGTAGCTTATAAAAGAAATGAACTGGCATGATTCACTTCCTTTAGGCAGCATCATAGGTACAGAAATAAAGTGATGGATCAACTGAGGCAAAATCCCTGGGTTCCAACCCTTTTCTGCCGGTGATTTACCATGTGCCTCCTCTTCCTTTTTTTCTTTTTTTTTGGGCTAGAGTGCCGTGGTGTCAGCCTAGCTCACAGCAACCTCAAACTCCTGGGCTCCAGCAATCCTCCTCCCTCAGCCTCTTGAAGAGCTGGGACTACAGGCACATGCCACCACACTGGCTAATTTTTCTATTTTTAGTATAGACGGGGCTTTGCTCTTGCTCAGGCTGGCCTCGAATTCCTGACCTCAAGTAATCCTCCCCCCTTGGCCTCCCAGAGTGCTAGGATTATAGGGATGAGCCACCACGCCTGGCCCCCTCCTTCTGTAAATTGAGAGGTTTTGAGGTTTTTGAGCTACCTGCCCTTTTTCAATTTTTTTTTTTCCAATACAGGGTCTCCTGTCATCCAGGCTGGAGTGCAGTGGAGTCATCATGGCTCACTACAGCCTCCAACTCCTGGGCTCAAGCAATCCTCCTGCCTCAACCTCCTGAGTAGCTGGGACCACAGGCGCGCGCTGCCATACCCAGCTAATTATTTTATTTCTTTTTTACAGAGGATCTCACTATGTTGCCCAGACTGGTCTCAAACTCCTGGCCTCAAGCCATCCTCTTCAACCTCCCACAGTGCTGGGATTACAGGCATGAGCCACCATGTCCAGCCCATCTTTCAATTCTTGAATTATATGATTTTCCCCTTTCATGCTGACAACAACAATTCCCCTAAATGTGTTTTGACTTGAATTCTCTGGTTACCTTCACCTTATAGCTGCTTTTCCACAACCAGTGTGTGGAGACTTTTTTTTTAATGTCCTCTTTATTGTACCAAATATATCAGCTAAGTTGACGCCTGTCAATTGTTCCTCTATTACTGTAAGTAATTCTCTTAAGACACATAGACATCTTGCTCCACGGAGAAAACCCGGGGAGGCTGCAAGCTGCGCACTTACTCGGCCTCCAGCTCCTTCTCCAGATAGAATGGCTCCTGGCCGTGACCTTGTGCCATATGTCTCGTATCTGCCTCCCTCCAGGCCACAGTCTTCTCTTAAACTTGCCCGTGCTGGCCCAGCGAGGGGCTTGCCAGTTTCCATCCTACCTCCTGAGACACATTTCCTGGTCTCCTGGCATATTGGATCATTTTGCCTCCTTTCCCACTTTGGTCGCCTTGTTATCATAGTGTCTATTCTTTAAAAGTCTCGGTCTTCTTTATCAACATGGACTCTTCCCTCAGCCACAGAAACCTGGGTGCCAAAACATGAGGGATTTGCCACCGGCGCGCCGAGAATTTAAGGTGGTTCCATGGCACCACCTACTGACCAAGCCTGCACATTACAAGTGCGTTAAATGCGCAAACTGCTCGGGTGCTGTAATGCCGGAAGTCATCAAAGGCTCAGAGTGACTTCAACACAGGGACCACCCATTATCATGTATTTACTGAGCACCCTTGTGTTGCAGCATGACTCTTTTGAGGGCCTGAGAACACGAAGATTTCTCGAGCTCAGAAACTAGTCGAGGTTTCCAGATAAAATGCCCAGCATCTGGCTGGCACATAGCAGCAAATATCAATATTATCATTTTTATAAATGTTCTTTTAAAATGGGACAATGTAAGCATGCTGTTACACAGAACGGCTTGTAAATGCTCATGACACGAATCTAGATGGTTTTCCAGGGACAATGAGGAGGGAAAAGAAAAACGACACGATTTAACCAGGTCGTTGCACATAC